TATATATATATATTTACCGAGGTACGTCCCCAACCAGTGACTGTAAGACCAACATGTTCGAAATTACGATTTTCAGATATTATTTCTATCGCTTTGGCATTTTTAGTAAAGTTAATATTTTTCGTTAGACGAATTAAAGCAACATCATTTCTCTTTAGCGTGCTGTTGTATTGAGGATGTGGTATTAGTTTGTCCACTGTGTATCTACTTTCAGGAACATAAAGCTGAGTGCTTCCAACATCGACGATAACTTCGCCTTCACTGACGAGACTATAACAATCAGTAAAAACCATGAATACTTTACATTTAATTTAAGACATTATTTAAAAAATTATTTTTTATTTTAATATTTATTTAGTGATATATACATATATATATGTCTGAATACCTATAAGAGAAAAGATATCTTAATTACTTATAAACAATATAAATCGCACAACTCTAGATATAAAAAATTGTTGCATTATTTTCCAAATTTCTCGTTTTCTCATAATTTTGATTCATTAAATTTACATTTAGATAATGCGTATAAGTTTGTTTTTTTACTTATCAAATTACAAATATTGAAAATGCAATAATTATTTGGCTAAGAATTAGAATATTAGTTGAATTATGTTTTCGAAGGCTGTGTGAGAGAGAGAAAAAAAGAATGTACATACTTTTGGAAACAGTGAGCCGCTGTGATAATATATTTCTCGCTGATGATGGCTCCACCACAAAAATGGTCTCCAGAAAATGTTCGCTTTAATGACACCTGATAGGGGTACTTGCCGGGCGGAGCATCTTTACCGCCTACGATTTGTGTATCTGGCACACCTATCGATTAAAAAAAAATTTCTTTCCGTAAAAAGCTGTATAAAAAATTTCAAGTTATGTTACAAATTTTTGTTTCTTCATATATTAATTTTTTTCTTTATTTTAATATTTATTTTTATATATAATGTAGATTCTGTTTTAAAATATGACAAGCAAGGAATGACTTGCGCGATATATTTTAATAAAATCTTAAAGTGATAGAATTGCTACGTTTTTAAAAATATTCCTTAAATGGATTTATTTTTAAGATATACAATTAGCATTAAATTTTGTCAAATAATTGTTGCAATATTTTCATTTATATGAAATTGACAAAACGTAATTCATTCGAATAAATTTAGATAGCGCGCGACGGAAGTACCCGATGGAAGTTACGTAATATCTGATCGGGGTTAATCTGAGCAAAAAAAATTATAATGTACGCTCGAATTATTTATGACGCGTTAAAGCTTGTAAAATCTAAAAATATACATTTCAAGATTTCTCAATAGAATTTTCACGAATATCATAATAGGTACTTACCGTAGGCGTGATATATTAGAGATACGATTACGAGACCAGTGATGGAAAACATAGTGACAGTTACTGAGGCGTGCGAAACGCGTTATCTTCGATTTATATACGTCGATCGGAATTATCAAATAGCACGTATCGACTTGCGTTATCTTTGCGCGCAGGTAATATAGCGAAGAGATATATTCGCAGAATGTCCAGGATGATATGAGTATTTTTTCTTGTAACTTCTCTTGAATCATCGCTATTTATTTTATGATTATATATCTATGTATTTTCGAAATAGCGAAAGGAACTTTTTATATCGTACATATTTTATGTATTATTATATTTTATTTTATAACGATATTACTTATATATTGTAACTCTGCATATTTTATATATTATTATATCTTATATGTAAATATTTCTGAGCAAAAGGATGTATTATTCTTAGAACTATATATTTATTTGAGATCTATTATCAAGATACTTTTACATAAATTTATATACATAACGAATAAGAAAGGCCAATGCACGGTCATAGCAGGATCTTGGTGCTTTTAATATTTTCTTATATGATTTCACATACGTATCCTAGCTTCGACGAAAATGCGTGCCGTTACTTCCGAATTCAACGCAATCTCTGATTGAAACAGGAATAAGTACTTGATACTCACTTGAAACAGGAATAAGTACTTGATGCTCACTTGCGTCTAATAAATCCCCCCTTTCTCGCGACGTCAAATAAATGCTAACTTGCGTACTCTATACGAACCATTATCACCGAATTTGTAAAGAAATTTATTGCAAAAAAATATCACATCATGTTTTCCTGGCTGAAAACACATAAGAAAATATTAAAAGCACCAAGATCCTACTTTGACCGTGTATATGGCATATACATATTTCTTATTCGTTATGTATAAAACACTTATGGTAATATATATTATAAATCGTAAATATATCGATTAATTGCGCGTTATGCGATATATAATTTGATTGAATGAGAATATCGCATAACGCGCAATTAATCAATATATTTATGATTTATTTATGAATTTATACAATTCTATTTAAGATACAAATAGATATCGTTCTATTGTACGTTATACGTTCTAGCTATTGCGCAGAGAGGTATAACGCGCACTAGCGATTGCATTTTTCTGTACAATAGATTAGTAATTATACTTTACTTGTTAAACTCTTCATTAATATTTTTAAATTTTAATATATATATTGAAGATGTATATTATTGGAGATATGCATATTAAAGAGCAATACACACTACAAACCAATGTAATTTTTCAAATGTAACATAATTTTTCATTAAGGATAAATTAATTTTAAATTTATGAAAAATGTTATACAATATTTAACACATTTTGAGATATTCGTTTAAATGCTTAAACGATTATTAAGTTACACATATAAAAATTGTCTACAAATAAAATTCTTAAATAATTATATCATTAATTATTGCTGTATTATACAATTCGTCAAATAGAAATTGTTAGGTATTGGTTCTTAATAAGTTTTGATAAGTTTTAAAGCAATATGCCATATGGCATGGCATATCGAGCTGATGTTTGATTGGCGAATTTTTCTAGTGACGTCATCGCTGAGTCAAATCCCTGCATGAAAGTTAATCCAGTCTCTATAGTAAAACACTCTAGTATAGTAGTATATATGTCAGGAAAGCCGCTCCCACATGGAAGTACACCAAATGACACGATACCAATCAGGATGCCATTAGCAACGAGTGGACCACCAGAATCACCCTGTTAAAATAGTGTATTAAAATAGTTAAATAGTATATGTAATTAGATAATTATATACTAATATTTATACTAATATACTATTAATATATAATAGTATATAATATTATATACTAATATTATATACTAATATTTATATACTAATATTCGTCAAAATTTTTCATTGGTACCATTTAGTATTTTTTTGATTCATTCTTGATTAAAAATTTAATAAAAAAAAATTATAAATATATATTATAACTTTATATAAAAAAAATTTGAAGAGAATATAGATAATTTTAGAATATAATTATAGAAAAGTAACTGTATAACTTATTTTTTTAAAAGATTAGTTATATATAACTGAGCTGTGATAAAAGTGTTGATATAACAAAAGCTTTTTATTTTTTAGGTATGAATATATATATATATATATATATATATATATATAAAATTAACGGATAAAATATATATTGTATCTATGCGTTCACACCCAAAAAATAAAAAGCTTTTGTTATATCAACATTTTTAATATTATATTGTACTTACGTTGCACATTTCTTGACCTTGTGATGTAAGGGTACATATATGAGTTTTCACGATGATATTTCCATAATAATGTTACATTTCTTTTGGGAATATCCTTTCACTACGATTTCTTGCAAGTTATTAGGTTGCCGACCGTTGCTCTAAAGATTAAAGTTTTTAGCTCAGCTGATGTCTTATTATAATAGATTTGAAGAGATTATTATAGAATTTTTGTAAAACACCACTTATTAATTCTTTCAAAATTTTATTTTACAAATTTTATTTGGAAAAATACGAAAGTATAAACATTAAAATAATAAAAGAAAAGATCGACGAGTTATCTCTCTTACATAATCAAAATTATACTTATTAAAACTTATTTATGTTGCTTAGATTTACCCAGAGTCTTCCCCAACCAGTAATTAAAAGAGGATAATTTTCATAATTGCGATCGGTATTTGGCAAAGCAATCGGTTGAATATTTTCGTTAAAATCAATATCTTGTGATACCCTGATTAAACCAATATCATTAATAGTCATAGCATGTTCGTTGAAATCAGGGTAGTATGAGGGCTGCTGCTGGATACACAGCACGAGATGTATCAAGGTAATTGCTTCCAAAGGCCATAAAAAGATTGGACGAATCATTAAAACTATAATAGGGATTGTAATCCTTTTATATATGTATCTAATTTAAGAGTGCGTTAATTCAGGTAAATCTTTTAAAAAAAGTAGAGATATATCTTAATTGAATAAACAATATAAGATATTTTTAAACTTCGAAGGAATTGTTGCTACATAAATATTCCTTCAAATTTTACTTTGTAAACAAAAGATTTTTCCAGATAGTAATTAAAGTAATTAGAGATTTTATAATAAAATGATATAATTAGTAATGGCTTCCTTGTAAAACTGCAAAGATGTGTAAAATACGGTTCAAATATGAATTATTTTAATTATAGATTATAGATTTAAATATAATTTTAATAATTACAGATACTTTGAGTTGGAGAAAAGTGTACACACGTACTAAATCAAACAGTGCCCAGCAGTAATAATATAATTTTTGCTGATGATGACTCCACCGCAGAAATGTCTGTTGTTTTGTGAGTATCTCAATGACACTTGATATGGGTACAAACCATCTGGAGCATTATTACAGCCAATGATTTGTGAAGCTGGCAAATCTATCGATTGAAAACCAGCTATTTCATTTTATCATTGCATTTTATATTTTGCTATAATTATAAATTACAATCGATTATTACCTGAAATCATTTTCAAAATTATAAACGTTTTATCTTAAAACAAGCAATACGAAATGAATTACGAGTACATCTATTTTCGCAGTATTTTCAAAATCGCAGACATTTATTATTCTTAAGATCTACAACATTAAGGCCTGATTTAACGTTAATTTGGCTTTAAATAACGCTTAAAACTCTTTTTCTCTCTTTCTTAAGGTTTTGAAGAAAGACAGAGTTTTAATTAAGTCTTACTTAAAGTCAAAAATAACGTTAATGCAATCGGGCTTATAAAGGCTAATAAAATAATTTATCAAATATTATTAATAATTTATATATATCAAATAATTGTCATATTACAATATCAAATAATAATTAAATAGTGATTATGATATTACACTTATATAAAACTGGAAAGAAGAAAAAAAAATAAATTTGATATGAATATAGATACTGCAACTTTCACACTCAATTCGTATTATGCTATGGAGATGATATACAATATGCGCTTGAATTTGAGAATTACAACGAACGTTATTGTCCTTATACGCAATGCTCCCGTTAATGCTTATCGTTAATGAGATTTTTTTACGTGAATACATTTACCTTGGGAACTGACAATGAGCGCTAAATGCGCTATGAGGCCGGGAGCACCGTTCATGGCGATAAATATTTTGGCACCTCGAACATTGTTACCTTCGATTTATATAGAATAGCTTACACCGTCGATCGAAACCATCAATTAACGTGTCCCGATATTTAGATTTCTATTATCTTCCTTACTTTGGCAGGCACGCGTACTAATAGAGCTTAAGTGCTGAACACTTACATATACAACATATTGCTATCTATAAGTGATTCACGATAATGGCAAAAAAAATTGTGGCAACCAGGTAACAATATTTGTTCATTTTCCGTTGATTTTTAAAGCGTCAGATGCGGTTACGTTATATTGTAACTGTGATTCATTAAACATATGTACTCTGTGTATCTTCTTTGTAATAGAGATAAGTCTGTCTAATGCTTTCATCTAAATTATATATAATCTATAAATATTATATATGGTTTACGACCATGTATGAATAATGTATTTAACAGTTTTAGTTAAATTAAAATAATCTCAATTTTAATTACTATATATTGTTCTATGTTTGTGCATGTAGATTCTTTTCTGGATAAAGTTAAATAGTGATATAATATTCGCTATAACATTTTCTGCAATTGCAAATGTTGACAATAAGTTATGTTTGCCGAATTATGTTTGCTAAAAATGGGAAACCCTTTGTTATTGTCAACTCCATTAGCACACGCTTTCGTTAATATGCAACAATCTTTGTCGGTAAAATATATGACAGAATAACAGTTAAGCAAGCCAAATATATTGATTGATGGCAAATGCCAAGCAGTTTTGCTATTACAAATAGCGTCAAACACCTCACAAAAATGCAATAATGCTTTGCAGTAAACAGATGTCGGCATATTGCTATATTGCCAGATTAGCTCCGATGTTGTCGTCAATTTGACTGCGGAATATATTCTTAATTTAGATACCTATCTATGGTTTATATTGGAGAGCGACTGAAGACACAATAGGTCCTGGTTATGGTATTATCGTTCGCTAGCATTTTTGTTTCCCATTTGGCATCATCTTACAACCGAAATGTTTGATAGCGTTGTATTTCTGGCATTATGTGAAGCTCTGTATATTTATTTAAATTATATAGTAGAGATTAGATAGTAGCTTGTTTTTGCCTAAACTAAACATGTGTGATGCTTAAAAGAATATTTTCTCTGGTTTATCATATTAGGTTGGTCAGAAAGTTTTTCGTATTTTCTTTAATAATGACGATTCAAAATACGAAAAGACTTTTTGATCAACCCGATATACATCAATTTCGCGAAGTTTAAATAAAAATCAGATTCTTTTTTAATTACAATTACCGCTATAATTTTCAATGATATAATATCTTTTATTTAAAATATTTCGAGAAATTTTTTGAACGAAACTTTTGTCACTTCCTCTAAAAGTTTAAAATATTGATGGTTTATTCACCTGTCTATAGTCTAGTACTATTCAATTAATATGTTTATGATTTATAAATCTGTACAACTGTAAACATTTTTAAAGTACAACAAATATGTTAATAATAAATATATACCATTGATCTTTTGCTGAAAAATAGGTGACAATATTATTTCACTGTATATTTATAGGTATTTTTAAATGTTTAGCTTATTATCGAAAATATGTTGGAAAAATAATAGATATATATAAAATGTAATTAAATATAAGAAATATCTTATATTATTTGCACTTATATATGATATCAATACAATTAGAAATAAGTAAGGAAAGGATAGTGTGTTTTTAATGCAGAGAAACAAAAAACACTTTTTACACATATTTATATATATATATATATATATATATATACACATACACATAACTTGATTGTTGATGACACTGTTATGCATTTTTTTACATACAGTAGCAAATGTTATTATAGTTACAAGTTACAATCAAAATAGTATTGAAACAGATAGAAAAATTTTATATATGTATACCTATATTTGCTTTTTGTTTTAAAATAAATCGAAATTACGTATATCTTGAATATTAAATACATTTGTAATTTATTATAGTAATAATTTTGTAATAATTAAATTAAATTAATTTTTTATATAAGTGATAATTCAGTTTTATACAAATTGTTTTATATAAAGATATTTTATGTCTTATATCAAAGATCAGTTTCTGAAATATTCATCCCTGTATAGTATTTAATCCACGATCGATAGAAAAATACTTTGGTGTATACGTCGGGACCTCCAGTGCATGGATGATAACTGTACGATACGAGACCAACCAAAACGTTGTCAGCAACAAGTGGACCACCGTCGTCGCCCTATCGAAACAATTGATTTAATATTGTTTGACACTTGTCAGACTACTTTATTCACGCATAATTTGTCTAAACTTAATAATTCTGTAAATTATACAGTAAATTTTCCCGTTTGTAAAAGCGTGTGACATTAAAATTCTCTGATTTGTAACAAAAACATAATAACATTTGTTAAAAGCTATAGCGTTCTAAGAAAAGATATCTAAAGGATAATAATTTCTGTTTTCATTCTATGATATCAATTTAAAGATAAACAACAATAATTGCTATTCTTGATAAATTTGTTTTTTTTTGTGATATATTATAATAGATATCATACGTTGTTATTTCTCGATTACTTACGTGGCACATTCCTTGGCCTGAGTATCCTAAGTAGGTACACATGGTGTGTTCATATTTACTGCATAATTCGTTAGCATAGTCAGATTCATATCCTCTTACTATAATTTCTTGCAGATGATTAGGAATTGGACCGCCCAACTAAAAAAAATTGTTAATTCCTTAGTATTTTATTTTATCAAATTTATATTCGATTATTACAATTTTTACAGTGCATTATTTTTCTATTTTACGTAGACTTCTTTAATTGTTTTTATTAGTATGCAAATATGCACCTATTCCTCACAAAAAACTATGTATAAAAAATATATATATATATATATATATATATATATATATATAAGAGTCACATTTCTATGTGTTATACATAGAAACAAACTTTACTGATTCTTTTCCTATTAGAGTTATCATATTTTTATATTTTTATGTTTATATCTATCTTTTTAAATTCTTTTTTATATATTTAAAAGTAAAATGTTTTTTATTCAAGACTGAATATAAGATATATTATTTCCAAATCTCAAGTCGTAATTTCTAATACGCTCATTTTAAATAGACATTTCTAAAAAATAGATTTTTTAATTCTTAAGACAGCTGTGAATTAAAACTCGTATCGTTGTATCAAATATGTTTATAGCAAAACATTTTTTAGAAAAATTTATTTCCTAAATTTTACTTCAAATAAAGAAGCAATTTGGAAGAATGAAAATTGTAAAGGATCTGTCTTTATAAAAGTCTGATGTAATATTTCCCCAGAGTCTTCCCCAGCCAGTGGCTACAAGAGGATAATTTCCATAGTTGCGATCGTCAGTTGGCAAGGCAATCGGCTGAACGTATTCAGTAAATACGATATTATTCCTTACTTGGATTAAACCAATGTCATGAATATGTAGCTCGCTGTTATAACCAGCGTGTGTTATCAATTTTCGCACTGGATGTAAGACCACATCTATATCGTCAAGGTTATTGCTTCCAACAGCGGCGTAAACAGAATAAGGAAGGCTGAGGTACCTAACAATCCATACAAATTATAATTTATTAGATTATTATAATTATTTAATAATTATCAAATTTATTAGACAATTATTTAATATTTGATATCAAATTCAGCGATTCAAATGCTTCAAAATAGAATTATAAATTAAGTAAACTGCACATTTCTTCGGCACAAGATGCCAAAAATTATCGATAAACAAATATTTTTCAAAGTTTTATCTTTTAAACGCAAGATTTAAAATGTGAAGTTATTGCATTATAGTTTATATACATCAAATAATATAATTAATATTTTTTTATTATATGTATAAAATCGTATATACGAAATTACGTGGATTGATAACGCTATATGTTGTCAGACAATTTCACCACTTGTAAACAATAATTGTTTGTTGAGCATTAAAAGTTTATGCTTCTATTCGCTATTCGTCCTCAATTTTACGCAAAATTTTCTCACAGTTTCTTTTTTTTAACGATATTTTTTTTTGGCTGTCATTGCTTGCTTTACTTGAGATAACTGTCATACTGATAACACAAACAGAGCACGCATTTTGTCAAAGATATACTAAGAGTTGACGATTTGTGACTTATCGTTTCTCGGCATATTTGAACTATATATGTTATTAATCCATGTAATTTTTAAAAAATTTTTATTCATATAATCTAATTACTCAAATAAGACATAATTAAAGCATTTGAACAGAACAAGGGTTATACATACGGAATAATACAATGGGCACTTGTAATAATGTAACGTTCACTGATGATGGCGCCACTACAAAAATGGGATCTATAAGGCACAAAAGGGTTGTCTCTCAATGACACTTGATAAGGATACGCGCCATCCAGAGCATCACTGCCGCCCACGATTTGCGGATTTGGCAAACCTATTGATAAAAAAACTTGTTATTTTCTTCTCGTTAAAAAAGATTCAGAATTAATAATGACATTTATCTCTATTTTATTTTGAAGAATTTTTCTCAATTTTCTGTAATAAAATCTTTAACATCTCGGGCTTGCATTATTGATTGCGGAAAGATAACGCTAAATTTATCGAATAATTGTTGCGAGTTAATTAAAAAAAAGAATCCAGAAAGTAAGTTTTGAAATTTCTTTGTGATAAAATTTATTCAGTACGTGTTACGCACATGATGCAATGATTATATAATGAGCGTAATACTGTTATAGTAAATTGCCATTTACCGTAGGCGGTGAGAGCCAGGCACGCGATTATGAGACCAGCGACAGCATTCATAGCGATAAGTACTGTGGTACGTTGGACATATTATCTTCAATTTATATCCTATATTGTAGATTGAAATCACCACTTGGCATTCTGATTTATCTAACATATCGATAGGAAATACCCACAAATCAACATGCGCCGTTACTTATATGACTTTGATATTTATAAATGAACTATATTAATGGCAAACATTGCACATTATTAATCAGGAATTTATTTTTATAATTTTTATTAAATTTTGTAATAATATATATAGCAATAGTTAAAGCGTAATTATTCATAAAACATGCTTATAAATTTCTTTATATATCTTCATAAAATAAGAAAAGAGTTTTTAATACATTCATTTGAGATGCATAGATATTGAGCTCAATATTTGATTTCTAGTGAAAAGATTTGCGCTTCTTTGGAAAAGAAAATAAGCATCATTAAACTTTTTAAAATGTTTCTTATAAATGCATATCAATAATATTTAGATAAGAATACGTATTTTATTTGTCGATTTTTTATAATAAATTTAAAAAAATGTCAAACATATACATGTATGTGATAGCAAAAATATTACAATTAAAGTTGATATTATATTGAAATAAGAGCAGAAATATTGTGCTGTATGCATCTACATAAATTAAATTATATAAAGCAGTTTCTTGATTTCTCTTACATGATAGCTAATGTTCAGTCTTAATATTAAAAAAATGTTGTAATTTATATAGGTAATATGAGGATCTTTAATGTAATTAAATTTGTTCCTAGAAATAATCGGTTTCAAAATTAATGAAGATACTATCTTATTTTTTATCTCTTTTATATTTTTAAAATGTATTTCTAATTGTATTCTATGAAAGATTAATCAAAAAATTGAATAACTATTGTTTGTAGAACTATAATTAATTAAATGATAATAACAATAAATTACTTGAAAGTGATTGAAAAGGTCTGATCAATCTTATCTGAAAAGACATCTGTAATTTTTAATTATCACTTCTCCGTAACATCCCGTTATCTGTTCGTATAAAAATAAAAAATTCGATTTTATCTCCAACTGGAGTTTATGATAACGGAAAAAATATTTTTAATAAAAAACAATTGCAATATGTTTTCCAATACGTTGATTATAATTCTAATATTTGTTAAAATCTGATTTTGTCGAATTTTTATAATGTACTGTATATTAAATAACGTTATAATAAATTAAATAGTATAATATAAAATTAATTATAAATTGTTACATAATAAAATTATTATTACATTATATTACAATGAGAAGGGACGTGCGATTGGTTTGTAAAAAGCTTTTAAAAAAGTGTTACAATTAATTGGATGTAAATAACCAAATTAATAATGCTTCACAAATTATATTTATCTTTTCTATAATATTAATGATCCATGTAATTTTAGTCATCACATCCATTATTGCACCGTATTCTGTTTTAATCATAAAGATTAACAGATACGATTACAAGGTTAATAGATGTTTATATGTCATATTATATCTGATCAAAATGTGCTCGTTATTTTATAAAGTATTGTTAAATACAAATTAAATTGGAGAATATTTAGATGTTTCTTAAGATGCAAAAACGATTGTTACTGCGTTAATTTAATTTTATAAATAATAAAATAACACAGTTATTTTATTTTATTATTCATTATTGATGTACTGATCGATCCAATTCGTGAAAGAGGATACCCTAGTGTATACATCTGGATATCCCACAGCGCACGGTCGAACAAACGAAGCAAGGCCGATTTGAATACCATTGGCAACGAGCGGACTACCAGAATCACCCTAAAAAAGACATTTATTAGAAACAATTGTTTGATATTGCAATCCTTAATATCACGTTAAAAGAATAATTGCTAAAAGCCATATATATTTTCAGAATAGAATTTATAATAAAAGACCTACAAACTTATGAAAAAATTTGCATAAGAAAAAATTTTAAAACACTATTAATAAAAAAATAGAATAAGTTAATTAAATAATTATTGACTGAATTTTTTAGAAATTTGCACAATTAATCATTTTTAATAACTGTGTTTATAAAATGAAGATTAATTGGTTAATATATATTTTTCTAATTAAGATCAACTCATACTCACATGGCACGCTCCTTGTCCATATTGTGAAAATGCACAGATGTGACTGGACTTCACATTCAAGAATACAGCTTTGCATCTTAATTGCGAATAAACTTTCAGGTTGACTATTTGAAGTTTATCAGGCACTTTTCCTAAGTACTGTGAAAAAATTCGAAAAGTGTAAGAAGGGTTAAGAGATCTCAATATAAAATTTAAAGGAATATTAATATTGACCTTTTTTTTTTAAATCTTAATTCACATTTTTATCTTACATTTAGCGATGTAATTTGAAGTAACATACATAACTAGAAGACAACACGAAGTCTAAAATCGAGACATAAGACGTCTTTTAAATGTCTCTCGCAAAGATGACTTTAAGATGCTTATTAGGCATTTTTAAGCGATCCGACGTCTCGATTTTGGACTTTAACTGTGTTGTCTGAGATAATGCTTGTCACCCCCTTTACCTTAAGTGTTCCCCAACCTGTCAGGAAGCAGGGGTCGCCAACTAGAACGGAATTCGTCTTTGCGAAAGAGATCGGTTGCACCAATTTGTTGTATTCTATGTCTGTTTTTAGGCGGAGTAAGCCAACATCGTTACGGATTAAAAGCAGATTAAAATCAGGATGAATAATAGCTGCTTCAGGCGCGTAAACATCACCGGCTTCACTCAAAAGATTCGTGCCAGCATGAACTGTTACGTCTTTGAGATCCTCGGGACCCTTAAATCTATGTTACATAAAATTATAAATTATAAGAATTAAATACATATCATATAAATACATTAATAATAGATTGTAGTTGCTTGAATTAAATTTAAATTAATAACTTAAATAATTATTAAAAAATGAAGAATGTAAATACAATCAAAGAATAACAGATTTAAATATTTATGTGTCTTAAACTTTTTTCAAGGAAAATTGGAGAAAATAATAAAAAATTCGAACAATAAAGTATCGGTAAAGTCAAATATTCAAGTCAAACAGTTAATTCAAGTAACGAAGGATTTTCAAATCTTAAATTACTTTGCATTTTGCGCAAAGGTGATACGTACTGCATAAGACAGTGAGCCGCGGTGAGAATATAACGTTTAGAAATAATGGATCCGCCGCAGAAATGACCATTGTTACGTCTGAGAGACACCATATAAGGATGCGCTCCGACTACAGCATCAGTTCCACCGACGATCTGGGGATCCACGGCTAAACAAATTTGTAATTATGTATAATTTCTGCAAAAAACGTTTATACAAATACATTTTTTTAGATTATATTTATATTATCCACTCCAAGAATTTACAAATTAAAACAATACTAATATTTTTTATTTGCTTTTTTGGTATAAGATCAAGTACAAAGTATGACGTTTTAAAAACCGTATATTCTGAAAAATATAATTAATTCCTATCTTAATGTATCTCAAATTTTAAATAAAATAATAAAAATTATTACTATTAATTATTTATATATTGTAGTTAATTTTTCTATTTTTGTAAAAAAAATTATAGAAGTCACAACAATCCATAATAAAAAAGGAATAATCTCAAAGAATAAATTTAAAAAAAGATTATTTAAACATAATTATTTAAAAAATGTTATTATATATTGCGTATGTATTAATTGTATCTATAAAAAATATCATAAAAATTTAGATATTACTTATTGCATATTTGATCTCCCCTACTATAAAAATTTTTATAATTGTGTAAAATACATTTTTATCATAATTTTTATAAATATTAATTTAATTTCAATTTTAATAAAATAACATTTAGTTGTTAAATTAAGCTCTATGAATACATATTGCACTTACAATTAGTTTCATTGATCTATGATTGTAAATTATTACTATAAAATTAATGGTAGATGATATAGATATATAAGGAATATCAAACCAATACAATTGTAAGCAAAATAAATTTTTAATTCTTAGAATTAAATATTGACATTAATTACATTTCGCGGTTTGTATTATCACGAATAAAATTATTTCTGGAATTATTTTCATATTTTTATCTAAATTCACCGAAAATAAATTGTATCGCTGATTATTTTTACGCGTAAAAATGTTTTTACTTTGTATTTATTGTCACTTACCATGACTGACTGCTAACAAACAAACGATTAAGAGACTTAAGAATGCGTACATTTTGAAAGTTTAGCTATTATTGAGAACAAGATGTTGTTTCGTAGGTATATATATGTACTTGATATGTATACGATATTAACTGCATATTGATACTTAAAAATAAGATTTCAAAGATTAGATAATTTTGATTAGATAACCTGATTCTGAGAACGCCATAAGTGTTATTTTACTCACAGATATAGTTCGGAATTTCATTTGAATAAAACAATTCATTCCGATGAAATTTATCTATAAATATATTTAACTTTACGCATTATATTCACTTCAAAGCTTATTAAAATTAAGGGTATAATTATTGATTTTTTGTTTCTTTATACAGGACCTCTTTAATATTCATATTTTAAAAGATTTTCTTTTTATTAAATTGATCAAACGCATTTATAACAATATCACGCAGATTTATGAATCTTACAGTAACAGATAAACGATATTGTTTATCGCGAATAAAAGCAGCGGTCACTGCGAAGTACATTAGACTTTATATATAATAAAAATAAAAACAAGTTTGTTAATTTGCATTGACAATTTATTTAACTGATAGGAAAAACGTACATAATGTGTGTGTGTTCAAACAACGGTATTAATTAAATTCTAAATCACATGAGACCAAATCGTATTGTAATAAACAAATTAAATAATATCTTTTATTTCTTCAAATTTGCGGTAATCCAAGGCACGAAACTGCTCACTCTTGTATAAACGTCTGGATATCCAAGTGCGCAAGGATTTCCGAAGGAAACGATTCCAATTTGGACTCCATCGGCCACCAACGGTCCACCAGAATCACCCTGGAATGAAGATGCAATTAATAATAAAATATCGATATTACCTGTATCGATTATATCGTAAACTATTTATTACTGCAAATTATTGTTACAATCCTTTCAGTGTTAAAGTAAAAATGTAATTGATGTATAGTTATGGATTTAATATTATAATTATAATTTTTTATTATTAATAATACATATATATTTCTTATATTATTAATTTTTTGTGTCCTTAATTCTCTTTTACTGTTATATAAAAAGACACATGTATCGATTTGTTTTATGATATTAATTGGCGACTTACGTGGCACGCTCCTTCTCCTTCCTTAGTCAAAGTGCAGATATGACTATCTATCACTCTCCATTGTACTGCTTCGCAGTCTTCCTGCGGATAAACTACCAACTCAATTTCTTGCAAGTTATTCGGAATATTTCCACCAACCTAAAAAGAATAAATATATTGTGATGTTGAGAATCGAAGCAAATAACGAATAACAACAGCAAATAATTATTATCTCAAAATGTTCTCTCACTCGTTATTTCTAACTTATTAAAAAGAAAATGATAATTTTCTCAAAAAGAGAATGTCTCAATTTTTGGATATGTGTAACTGGAAAACTATCGCATTTGATATTACCTGTGTAGTTCCCCATCCGGTTAAAGTGCACGGTTTGTTTTCAAGGTCTTTATCGGATGTCATAAGATTTATCGGTTGCACTAGCGGGTTGTATACGATAGATTTATTAAGGTGAATCAGAGCGACGTCATTAATGAGTAAATAGTCATCGTAGTGTTGGTTGACGGAAACACTTCCTACGTCATAGACATCTCCTGGTGCAGTCATAAAGTTTGTGCCGGCATGGACCTTTAGATTATTCAGCTGATCTTCCATTCTAGCAAAGAAAGCACACACACATAAATACATATATAAGTATAGATAACCAAACTGTTAAAAATAGATTTTGAAAATGTCTGCTATAAACTTTTTCGATAGAATATAGCAGAAATAGAATAAGGGCACTAGTTATGAAACACCCTTCTTAGAATAAAAATTTTTATTCAGAAAACATATTTTTATTGTCAAACAGGTAACAAAATATTTAATTCTAATTAATTATAACAAGATACTTTGCTTATTGGATATGTACATATTTCATATACTGTATCCATTTGACGTGTTAAAAAAAGATTAGTTTTAGAATTAATTTCTGTTTACTAATAATATATTGATATATCAGATATATGTAGATTTAGAAGATGTTTAACTTACCCTACGACGCAATGTGCTGCAGTTAATATGGTTCTGTCATCAAGGATAGATCCACCGCATCTGTGCGAGCCATAATATCTTAATGATATTTGATATGGATATTTGCCGATGGGAGCATCTTTACCACCGACGATATGAGGAAATGGAGCTCCTTATTGACAAAAATGAAGTAATTATTAATATGCGTTAATATATGTGCAAAGTAAAATGTTACATTACTATATACACAAACTTTTAATATAATATATTATCAATAACATAATATTAATGATAACAATTAAACTTTGCATCGACTTTACGGCTACATAAATGAGCTGTTCGGAAAAGTTACATATTTATTCAAAATAAAACATTTTTAAAGCTTTTATTGATCATGCCATTAATTTTAAACCGTAAAATACTTGTATTTAAAGAAACTATAAATATCATACAGTGAAAACTCAAATTATATATCTAGTTATATATTAAGGACTTTACATTAGAAAATAATTGTTTTGTAAATTGTAATGTATAGAAAGAAATGTTGTTGCTTCTCTCTCTCTCTCTCTCTCTCTCATTCTCTTATTATGCTAAAATATTTATAATTTAATTTCGTACCTTCAATGGCGCATGCCAGAGCGAGTAGTATAAGACTAGCGAACGCACGCATCTTCGATTGTTGATTTGTTGCCTGCATCTGAAGCGAATAGAGGCATTCATATAGGTTTATATATGCTCCTGAAGTAGTGTTGCAACGAAGATATAATCATGTGCTTGTGACGCTTTTCTGAATTTTTCTCAACGCGATATCGCACGATAAAATATTGTTATTTATAGTTTATATTATGCACTTATTGATTGATAATAGTGATAATTAAATTTGTTTTTAATTAAATTTGTCTTTGTTATAATTTTTCTTAGAAGAATGGGGATTTACGTCCACTTATCTAATGAAGTACATGGTCTCATGGTTGATTAGTTATTTTTATCGATTACTATATCTGACATTCAAGTCTACGATATTGACAATAGATTGCATGTCACGTAATTAGAACTGAACATAAATCTTATAATGTAAGGAGTACAAATCTGCCAGAATAAAACGTCTGCAATTTTAATAAATTTATAAATAACAAATAAGAAAAAGAACTTTATTTGTAAATAAGAAGTAAACCTTTAATATATCTCAAATAAAAGTTATTTATAAAAATATACATTGTATTTAAAGAATGGATATTGTGAATATAACTCTTTGATTAATATGCCATCCATATCTGAATGTTGTAAATTGTAACAAGAGTTTGATCATCTTGTAAATGACGGTTTTATTTATTTAATTAAGAATAATTTTACTAAATATTTATTAAAATATATTAAAAGAAAAACAATAAGTATTATTAAAATAAAGTATTATTAAAATTAAAGTATTATTTTGTTGCATTTTACTTAAAAACAAAATTATTGGTTTATTTTTTAACTCGAAGTGTTTTATTATTTTAGAGTAACAGTTTTATTTTCATTTAATCTAAAATTAATAATACATTATAAAATATTTAATAATAGTGTCCTCCTTTTTAAAAAAAGGCATCACATCAATATTCGTAACTTTTGAAATATTGTTGCTGCTTTTCCGTGATGCCGATTGGTTGTCTCGCAACCACTTACTGCGTGAGCGACTGTCATTGCATATTTTGCCAGTTGTGTGTATTGAGATTGATAGAGTGCATAGCAAATATAATAAAGAGTGAAAAATATTGAATAGCACACGTAAAGCGTGCGTCTGTAATGCTAATGTGAATAAAAATTGTAACTCGTCCTTTCCGCGTTTCGTGCCGAAAAGTATTGTATGAAAAATAATCTCTGAGATCCCTGACAGTAAAAAAAAGTGTGCTCAGATTCGAGGTACGGAAGTGCTCCATTCAGTCAAAAGGAATAATGTATATATGCAAGTAAAAAATTAAAAATTGTTAGCGTTTGTGCCAATTGTGCCAAAAAGTACAAGTGCGGGAACAATTTCTGAGATCTCTGAGAGTAAAAAAAAAATATCACTGAAAAAAGTAATTTTGCAATTATAGCGAGAATTATTTAGATACGACAAATTAGCTAAAACGGATAAGTGATTAGTATAAGCACTACAATACTATATATGTTTTGTATTTAATCAATATAAATAATAGAGACAGAAATTATATAAACTTAAATTATCTAAACTATTTGTCAAATTTAGTAAGAAAGTTCCTCTATGACGTTTAATCAATCCAGACTCCAATCCATACTCCAATCATATTTGGTTATGAGA